GGGTACGTGCATGTGTAGAGAAAAATATACATAAGAGCCACCGAAAAATGGGCTTTCGGGCTGTAGGTATACTCCTGAAGAACCACCCAAATATAAAGGATCACCGTTCTTGATTCTTGTAGGGGGTCTTAAGCAAATACTTGTCCATGGACAACGCCCAGTAAGTCCCCTACAGCGTTTAGAGTTTAGGGATTAGGTTTAACGTGTCAACCCGAAGCAAGTTTCCCACTTCGGAAACACTCGGATACCTGGATGCCATCGGCTTGAACTTGTCAAACCCAGTGAGTCCAAACCCTATCCCTTGGACCCTTAATGTTGTAACCTTGGGTTTTGGTGCCTTGTTTTCCAAATCCTTGGGCCATTTTTAGGGGTATATGTTGGGGTACAACCTTACGGGTACGAGTCTTAATCCCTGACCTCAGGACCAACTCAGACCATGCCTTTTCCTCAGGAATGCAATAGAATCTTGACCCCCAACCCCGAAGCCCAAACTGAACTCCCCAAAACCACAAAGCCCCAACAGCCGTGGGTGACTCCGATGATGCCGCAGATGCCGCTACTTCGCGTCTTCGCGTCTTCACGTCTTCATGTCTTCACGTCTTCACCCCCCAGACGGCGCACCTCTACGGACGTCAATACCACGGGCTCGGGGTCCAAGGCCCAGCGATTGAACCCAAGCCCTAAACCATAAACCCTAAACCCAAGACCCTAAACCCTAAACCCGAAACCCTCTCCCTTACAAAACCTAAACCTGGCCTGAGATTCCGGTGAAGCTGGTCTGCCTGACTTCGGTCAGGAGCAACTCCTTGGCTCTCCCCCATTTAGGGTTAAGGGCTTAGGGTTTAGGGTTTAGGGTTTAGGGTTTAGGCTTAGGGTTTAGGGCTTAGGGCTTAGGGCTTAGGGTTTAGGGTTTAGGGTTTAGGGTTTAGGGTTTAGGGTTTAGGGTTTAGGGTTTAGGGTTTAGGGTGAAATGGCGCAGAAGCTGTGAAGGTTGGGATGTAGACTCGCTTCGACAGCCTCGTGAAATGCGAGGAGCAGCCATGGCCCGATAGTGGAGGGCCATCTAACACTTCTATCCCACCCCACGCCGTCTCAGGCGGCAAAACCACCCAAACCACCCAAACCTATTCCTGTTAGGGTTTAGGCCCAAACTCAAGTCAACAGCCCACTTCCAAAAAACTTCTTCCATTCCAGTGGTCTCGTGTTTAGGGTTTAGGGTTTAGGGTTTAAGGTTCACACCAGGCCGCCAACAGCAACGAACGGCCCGGAGCCAAGTCCGAAGGCTTCTGGCTCATCATCTTGATGTTCGATTTGAAGGCTCAGGCCGCTGTGTTCTGGGGTTCAAGAATCAGGGTTCAGGGTTCAGGGTTTAGGGTGTGGCTTCCACCCAGCCCGACACCCGGGCTTCGGGTTACCCTAAACCCTAAACCCTGGACCATAAACCCTAAACCCTAAACCCGAAACCCTAAACCCCAAGCCCTAAACTTAACGGCAATTCTTGTACAGTGGACCCGACTGCGGGCTGCGTCCGAGAGTCACCCTGGATGGCGGACAGGGCATTGCCCTGAGCATTTAGGGTTTAGTGTTTAGGGTTTAGGGTGTAGGGTTTAGGGTTTAGAGTTTAGGGTTTAGGGTTTAGGGTTTAGTGTTTAGGGTGTAGGGTTTAGGGTTTAGGGTTTAGGGTTGAGGGTTGAGGGTTTAAGGTTTAGGGTTTAGGGTTTAGGGTTTAGGGTTTAGGGTTGAGGGTTGAGGGTTTAAGGTTTAGGGTTTAGGGTTTAGGGTCTAGGGTTTAGGGTTTAGGGTTCAGGGATCTGAGTGCGGGGTTCCAGGTGTTCTACACTGATTAGGGTCCCTATTCCTGGGGAAGTCCTTTTACTAGACAAGGAGTCTATCATACTTAGAAGCTCAGGGTTTAGGGTTTAGGGCTTAGGGTTTAGGGTTTAGGGTTTGGGGTTTAGGGTTTAGGGTTTAGGGCTTAGAAACCCCATTGTCATCATAATCCCCATAACCCACCCTGCTTACGAAGTCAAAAGAGCTTCCCAAGTACGGGAGAGTCTCCAAGTGCTGGAGTCTTTTGGGGTACCCAATTTCTCATGTGCCGTATTCTAATAAATCTCCACAAAGAGGACAAGAATTTCCCAGGACCTCCCAAATGGTAGAGCTAATCCCTATGTAAGACCCGGACTTACGAATAAACTCTAAAGCCCTACACCCCAAACCCCAAGCGCTGAACCCTAAACCCAAAAACCTAAAACCCTGAACCCTAAACCCTAAACCCGAAACCCTAAACCCTAAACCCTAAACCCTAAACCCTAAACCCTAAACCCTAAACCCTAACCCGTAGATGGCCATCCATGCTCTTCCCCCTTAATGCAAAAGGGCAGTTTTAGCAAGGCCCCCGAAACCCGGAAGTAGGGTTTTGGGGTTTAGCGTGTAGGGTTTAGGGTTTGGGGTTTAATGTCGTATCCTGATTAGTCTGGACCCCCTCAATAATGAAAAGTTTTCCAAAAATTATTCAGGAGACCCAAATTCGATTGCCCCCCCACAATAAACTAAAGTTTTTCGGGCATGGGTTTCGGAACAGAGAAAAACAATGTCAAGGTTTTCGGGGGGAGGGGGGGGGGGGGGCTGGCCTTCAAGCTTCCCGGGTTCAGGGTCTACGACCAGGCCTGAAAACAAGGATTCCTTATGACTTCGCTTATCTGAGGAGGCCTAGCCATCAAATTTTGAAGGGGGTAGTCCACGTGCTGCCCCGAAGCCCATTAAAAAAAAATTGCACCCCCACAATACTGTCAAGGTTTTCGGGGGGAGGGGGGCGGGGGGGCGCGCCTTCAAGCTTCCCGGGTTCAGGGTCGACGACCAGGCCGGAAAACAAGGATTCCTTATGACTTCGCTTATCTGAGGAGGCCTAGCCATCAAATTTTGAAGGGGGTAGTCCACGTGCTGCCCCGAACCCCATTTAAAAACAAAAATTGCACCCCCACAATAATGTCAAGGTTTTCGGGGGGAGGGGGGGGGGGGAGGGTTTAGGGTTTAGGGTTTAGGGTTTAGGCCTTCAAGCTTCTGAATTAAAGCCCTGGGCCCCTGAGCTTACCTGAGCTTACCTGAGCTGAGCTCATCTGAGCTTACCTGAGCTTAATTATGTAAGAGGAGAGGGAAAGGAAGAGGAGAGGAAGAGGAGAGGGAAGAGGAGCGAAGAGGAAATGAAGAGGAGCCGGTGGGGGGGGGGCCCGGGGCCGAAAATTAGTTTGGGGGGGTCCCTTTTTTTAACACTATTACGGGGGTGGATTTAGTTTGGGGGGGGGGAGGGGGGGGGGGGGCCCTCACACTAATCAGGATACCACATTAGGGTTTAGGGTTTAGGGTTTAGCGTTTAGGGTTTAGGGTTTAGGGTTTAGGGAACCCTAAGCCCCTCATAAACGCTAAACCCTAAACCCCAAAACGGGCCCAGCTCATTTCTCGCCCCCCCCCCCCACCAGAACCCTAGAAATTGCAGGGTGGTGAAGCATTCGCACAGATGCTGGCCTGATTCAGGAGGTTGTTGATCCTCACATGCGTCAAGGCTGAGGGGTAGGATTTAGAGTTTATTCAGGGTTGAGGGGTTCGGTTTGCTTTAGGGTTTAGGGTGTGGGGTTTAGGGTTTAGGGGTTAGGGGTTAGGGTTTAGGGCTTAGGGAAGTTTAGGGTCTAGGCTTAGGGTTTTGGGAAGAAAGGCCCTAAACCCGAAGCCCTACAGCCTACAGCTGCTATAGGTCACTAGCAGCTCAAGCTCGCAACCCTAAACCCTAAACCCTAAACTCTAACCCCTAAACCCTAAACCCTAAACCCTAAACCCTAAACCCTAAACCCTAAACCCTAAACCCTAATGATGGTAAAGCCCCCAGAAGGGGTCGTCAGGGGCCCGCCCTGTGGCGAGCGCGGTGTACGGGCTTAAGCGGGCTTAGGGGTTGGGGTTCAGGGTTCAGGGTTCAGGGTTCAGGGTCCAGGGTTCAGGGTTTAGGGTTTAGGGTTTAGGGTTTAGGGTTTAGGGTTTAGGGTTTAGGGTTTAGGGTTTAAGGTTTAGGGTGCAGGGTGTAGGGTTTAGGGTTTAGGGTTCAGGGTTTATGGTGGAGGGTTTCAGGTTCAGGGGCTTAGGTTTGGGGGTGGTAGTGTTGGAGCTTAACCTGAGCTTGGAAGGTATTGAGATTCAAGAAGGGTGGAAGAAGCCTGAGGATGGGTTAAACTCTAAGCCTTAGGGTTTAGGGTTTAGGGTTTAGGGTTTAGGGTTTAGGGTTTAGGGTTTAGGGTTTAGGGTTTAGGGTTTAGGGTTTAGGGTTTAGGGTTTAGGGCTTAGGGTTCAGGGTTTAGTTAGGGCTTGGGGTGTGGGGTTTAGGGCTTCTAGGGTTTAGGTAGGGTTTAGACCGGGCATCATGCATGGCACGAGAGCTGCTTTGCTCAGAACGTTAGGCGTCGGAGCACCATGCGTCGGGAGCAAGTAACGTCCCCGTCGCCTTTGGCGCCTTCTACATTTAGGAGTTGCCCTAAACCCTAAACCCTAAACCCTAAACCCCAAACCCCAAACCCCAAACCCCAAACCCCAAACCCCAACCCTAAAGACCCTAAACTCTAAACCGCCCTAACCACTGTTCAAGCTGAGCGGCGCAATCACCAAGGTGTAGAGAGCGTCAAAAAGGAATGTGTCCTAGGGGCGGGAGGGGATCGCAGCGCGGGGTCACGCGCAAGATCTACAGGGTTTAGGAGGGTTTAGGGTTTAGGGTTTAGGGTTTAGGGCTTAGGGTTTAGGGTTTAGGGTTTAGGGTTTAGGGTTTAGGGTTTAGGGTTTAGGGCTTAGGGTTTAGGGTTTAGGGTTTAAGCTTTAGGGGGTTAAGGTTTAGGGTTTAGGGTTTGGGGTTTCGGGTTTCGGGAGGGTTTAGGGCTTAGGGTTTGGGGTTTAGGGTGTTGAGGCTGAAGCCTACAGCCTGAAGCCTAAACCCCAAACCCCAAACGACTAGTTACCCCTTGAAAAACGCCAGCTTCAGCCACGGGGGTTAGGGTTAGTGTTTAGGGTCTAGGGTTTGGGGGATTCAGGGTTTAGGGTTTAGGGTTTAGGGTTTAGGGTTTAGGGTTTGGTGTCTAGCAGCTTCCCCTGGCAGAAAACATAAAGTGTAAGTTTAGGGCTCAAGCATCTTGGCAGAAGAAACATCTCACATCAGCTTTGCCTGGGGCGGCTGTAAGTGAGGGCCCCTTATAGGTAAACATTGAAGCTCGAAACACCTATAATAAAAGACGCAACAAATTTAGAACACGCGCCCCCCCCCCCCCTCCCCCCTACACACTAAACCCTAAAACCCCTAAACCCTAAACCCTAAACCCTAAACCCTAAACCCCGAAGCCCTAAGCCCTAAAGAGAAAGAACCCCACCCCAACCCACCCCACCCCCACCCCACCCCACCCACCCCCCCCCCACCCCACCCCCCCCACCCCACCCCACCACCCCCAGAGGCTGAATCATTCATGGGCCCTTCTGGAGTCTCTCTTGCGGTGCAAGCCTTCCAGCTGATCTTCAGGATCCCCTCCCCCCCCCCCCAAACCCTAAGCCCCTCCCCGCCCCTTTAAACCAGACAAAACCAAGACAGATCAACCACCCCCCCTCCCACCCGCTACACCCCAAACCCTAAGCCCTTTAAACCCTAAACCCCAAACCCTCAACCCCAAACCCTAAACCCTAAATCCTAAACCCCAACCCCTAAACCCTAAACCCTGAAACCCGATATCCTAAACCAGGCATAGGCCCCGGCGTAGCTTGGAAGCACCACATCGGTGAAGTCGCTGTCGACGATGGCGGGAACGGTTGCCGAAGCGAGGGGCACCTGTTTAGGGTTTAGGGTTCAGGGTTTAGGGTTTGGGGCTTAGGGTTTAGGGCTTAGGGCTTAGGGCTTAGGGCTTAGGGTTTAGGGCTTAGGGCTTAGGGCTTAGGGCTTAGGGCTTAGGGCTTAGGGCTTAGGGCTTAGGGCTTAGGGCTTAGGGCTTAGGGCTTAGGGCTTAGGGCTTAGGGCTTAGGGTGAGCTGACAAGTGCCCTCGGGACTGAAGGTGTAGGATGCAGGGTCCCCAACCTCAACACCCTCAAACCACAGCCACAACCACTTCTGAACACGGAGCTTAACCCCAAACCCTGAACCCAAAAGCCTAAACAGCGAACCTTAAGCCACCACCAGAATATTGCCGGAATCCCTAAACCCTAGACCCTAGACCCTAGACCCTAAACCCTAAACCCCAAACCCTAAACCCTACACCCTAAATTGTAATCCCTAAGCCCGAAACCCAATCCCGAAACAACCCCCCCCCAGTCTCATCCCTAAAAGGGGTCTTTAGGGTTTAGGGTTTGGGGTTTAGGGTTTAGGGTTTAGGGTTTAGGGTTTAGGGTTTAGGGTTTAGGGTTTAGGGTTTAGGGTTTAGGGTCTAGGGCCTAGGGCTTTTGAGGTTCTGAGCTGAGATTCTTGGGAGGTACCTTTTGGCAGGGGGTGGGGGGGATCCCTTCATTTCGATTCTCACATAATACGGATCCTGACAGGTACCCCAGAACTGCCCTCATGGATTCAAGTAAGTCGGGTTTGGGGTTTAGGGTCCAGGGCCTAGGGGCTTGGGGTTTAGGGTTTGGGGTTCTGGGTTTAGGGCTTCGAGTGCTTGAAGGCTTTATGCAAGGCGTATATGCATTGGCACATTGTCAGCGCGGAACCCTAAGCACTGAGCCCTCAACCCGAGAACAGTCCCAAACCCCCAAACGCCAAAACTCGGTACCCTTAGGGTTGAGGGTTGAGGGTTGAGGGTTGAGGGTTGAGGGTTGAGGGTTGAGGGCTTAGGGCTCAGGGCATAAGCCCTAATACCCCAACCCCAAACCCGAAGACGTGGCAAAATTGGCTCCGCCCATGCCTTGAAGTTGTCAATGCCGTAGCGAGTTCGTGCGGCAGCGCTGGTAACATCCTCAAACTCACTCTTTTGAGGGTTTAGGGTTTGGGTTTAGGGTTTACTAGGGTTTAGGGTGTCGGGTGTCGGGTGTAGGGTTTAGGGTTTAGAGTTTAGGGTTTAGGGTTTCGGGTTTATGGTTTAGGGCTTCGAGGGGGGGGGGGGGGGGGGGGCTGGTACCTAAACCTTGCCTGAACCTTATGAAGCCCTAACCTCTGAACCCTAAACCGCAGTAGGCTTCCTTACCAACAGCTCCCTCCACAATGACAAAGGGACTTGCGTTTAGACAAGTCCCATTTCGGCGACGCCGTGGCAACCCCAAACCCCCAACCTCAACTAAACCCCAAACCCTAAGCCCCTAAACTACTAAACCCCAAACCCTCCCTCAACCCCGCAGCCCTCAACCCTAAACCCCAAACCCTAAACCCCTTGCGGGTGCAAAGATTGGGCCGTTTGACTTCCGGGCATCCTAAACCATTTCAAGCCTAAGCCCTCCTAGTTCACAGGATGGAGGATTCCAGCTTGAGAAGATAAGTTCAACACTTTATAGGGCTTAGGGCACGTTGAAACGTTCAAGCCCCAAAGCTCGTGAATCTGAAACCCGAATCTCAACCACTCATCATCACTACACCCTAAGCCAGGGGAGGGGGAATACTTATTCCGACGGCTGTGGTGGGCACGGGGGGAAGGCGTGGCAGGGATTTAGCGCTCGGAAAGCCAAACCCCAATCTTATCTCTAAACCTTAACCTGTAAGACTCTAAACCCCACCCCCCCAAAGCTAACGTCTAACCCCTAGACCCTAAACTGTTAGAACCCTTAAACCCTTAAACCCCTAAACCCTTCAGCCTAAACCCTCTAAAGCCTTGAAGCCCCAAGCCATTGCAAAAAGTGCCCTAAACCTACCCTAAACCCTGAACCCTAAACCCTAAACCCTGAACCCTAAACCGTGTTCTTCCCTGTTCATCTACTGCGTGGCTGGCGGCGTTGGTATTCATCAACTTCCTGAGCTGATTCAAGGGCAGGGTTTAGGGTCTGGGGTCTTAGGGTCTAGGATTTAGGGTTTAGGGTTTAGGGTTTAGGGTCTAGGATTTAGGGTTTAGGGTTTGGGGCTTAGGGTTAAGGATTCACAGGCTTAGCGTTTAGAGGTCTCGAGGGTTTAAAGGGTTTAGGGTGCAGAGGCCCCCCGAACCAGGCCTTTCAGAGTCCTGCCTACAAGCAAGGCTTAGGGTCAGACTTGACCCCTCAACCCTAAAAGCCCTCAACCCTACACCCTAAACCCGAAACCACCCTAAACCCTAAACCCTAAACCCTAAACCCTAAACCCTAAACCCTAAACCCTACACCCTAAATCCAACACAATACCCAAGCCAGGGGATAGCAGAGTTGAGGGGCCTTGGTGGAGCCCAAAGGCGCAAGACAAGGAACAAACTCCCGACGACCCACATCATATCTCCGAAAGCTTGATTGTTTAGGGTTTAGGGTTTAGGGTTTAGGGTTTAGGGTTTAGGGTTTAGGGTTTAGGGTTTAGGGTTTAGGGCTTAGGGTTTAGGGTTTAGGGTTTAGGGTTTAGGGATTAGGGTTTAGGGTTTCGGGTTTAGGGTGTAGAGTTTAGGGTTTAGGGTTTGGGGTGGTTTGGGGTTTGGGGTTTACGTATGCCTGCCCAACCACGAAGGTCCCTCGCTTGGAAGCATTGAAGCGTTCTTGATTTGCTGGACGTCCCCGGCGCAGCGATGGAACCACTCTTCTGGGGTGGCACCCGGAATGCAGATGGAAGTGAGGACAGGCTTGGGGGGCGCCTGACGCGTGTTGTCCCCCCAAAGGGTGGGAGGAACACTTAGGTTCCCCCCCCCCCTGTCAAAAGAATAGGTTCGCCATGCTCAGATTGCCGCGAGCCTTCCTGAGGAAGGTTGGCCAGGGCGTGCTCGAGTTTAGTAGAGAGCAAGGTTTAGGGTTTAGGGTTTTCGAAAAGGGGTCTATGTTAGGGGGCCCTTATTTTCATTAAACCCCCATCTCTCCGAAAGCTTGATGGTTTAGGGTTTAGGGTTTGGGGTTTAGGGTTAGGGTTTAGGGGTTAGGGTTTAGAGTTTGGGGCTGAGGATTTGGGGTAGAGGCATAGGGTTCAAAGTCTAGGGTTTGAGAGGGCTTCGGGCGTTTAGGGTTCGGGTTGCTAGTTGCTAGGGTTTAGGGTTTAGGGCTTAGGGCTTAGGGCTTAGGGCTTAGGGCTTAGGGCTTAGGGCTTAGGGCTTAGGGCTTAGGGCTTAGGGCTTAGGGCTTAGGGCTTAGGGCGTAGGAAGGTGACAAAGACCCTGAGGATGTCCGAGCAGCCACATGTCCGTGAAGAGTGGGAACTTGGTGCCTGCGACAGAGCAGATCTCGGGATTCTGCAAGTCTTTTTTGCTGAGCCCTAAGCCCTCAACCCGAAACCCTAAGCCCTAATTCATAAACCCTAAACCCTAAACCCTAAACCCTGAACCCTGGACCCTAAACCCTAAACAACCATTCCTTGGGTTTGGGTTAAGGGCTTATGGGCTTCAAGGAATTATGGGTTGAAGCCCAGTTTCCAAGGGTAGCGAAAGGTCAGCCAGTGGGATTGCATAAGGCTTATACTCCCAAAAACGGCAGGAAAAAACCGGAAATCTGTCTAGGGTTTAGGGTTTAGTGTTTAGGGTTCAGGGTTCAGGGTTCAAGGTTCGGGGTTCAGGGTTCGGGGTTCAGGGTTCAGGGCATAGGGCTCAAGGCTGCTTGCTCGACTAGTAGGCTCGCTTCGGACCTGGTTTGGGCAGGGTTCAGGGTTTCCAGTGTCGGTGGCGCTGGGTATTCCGAGTCCCTACCTGATTGGGGTCCTTAAACCTTAAATCAGGTTCAGGGTTTAGGGTTTAGGGTTTAGGGTTTAGGGTTTAGGGTTTAGGGTTTAGGGGTTAGGGGTTAGGGGTTAGGGGTTAGGGGTTAGGGGTTAGGGGTTAGGGGTTAGGGTTCTGGGTTCTGGGTTCTGGGTTCTGGGTTCTGGGTTCTGGGTTCTGGGTTCTGGGTTCTGGGTTCTGGGTTCTGGGTTCTGGGTTCTGGGTTCTGGGTTCTGGGTTCTGGGTTCTGGGTTCTGGGTTCTGGGTTCTGGGTTCTGGGTTCTGGGTTCTGGGTTCTGGGTTCTGGGTTCTGGGTTCTGGGTTCTGGGTTCTGGGTTCTGGGTTCTGGGTTCTGGGTTCTGGGTTCTGGGTTCTGGGTTCTGGGTTCTGGGTTCTGGGTTCTGGGTTCTGGGTTCTGGGTTCTGGGTTCTGGGTTCTGGGTTCTGGGTTCTGGGTTCTGGGTTCTGGGTTCTGGGTTCTGGGTTCTTAGGGCTAAGGGCTTAGGGTTTAAAGACGGTTTCAGGCGGCCGCGAAACCCACAAGAAAACACCTCGTAGGCAATAACGCCCCCTAAGAGGCTAGGTAGGGGATTGGGGACACAGGGCTGAAGGCCCAGGGTTGAGGGTATAGGGTGTAGGGCTTAGGGTAAATCCTAACCCCAGAGTCTTCAGCCTGTAACCCTCTATCTAATAACCCTTAACCTCAACCTCTGTACATCGCCCTAGCCCCATCTAAAGCCCTTCAAAACGAACCTGAAACCCTAAACCATAAACCCTACGCCCTACACCCTACACCCTACACCCTCCACCCTGCACCCTGCACTCTGCACTCTACACCCTGAACAAACCTAAAACACTGAAAGCTGACCTGAATCCCTAAACCAAAAGAGCTGACAAAACAAAAGAAACACAAACGCACACCTTCAAGCCCTAAGCCCTAAGCCCTAAGCCTAAGCCCCAAGCCCTAAGCCCTAAACCCTAAACCCTACACCCTAAACCCTACACCCTAAACCCTAAACCCTAAACCCTAAACCCTAAACCCTAAACCCTAAACCCTAAACCCTAAACCCTAAAGCCTCGGCTCACAGGATTCCAACGCTGGAAGCCGATGGGGAGATCTGCATCCGTCATCTCAGGACCATACCTGGGGGGGGGGGTTCAGGGTTTAGGGCTTGGGGTTTGGGGTTTAGGGTTTAGGGTTTAGTGTTTAGGGTTTAGGGTTCAGGGTTTAGGGTTCAGGGTTTAAGGCGCAGGGCTCAGGGCTCAGGGCTGAGGGCTGAGGGCTGAGGACTTAGGGCTGAGGGCTGAGGACTTAGGGCTGAGGTCTTAGTAGAGCTTTAGGATCATATGGGGTTTAGGGTTTGGCGAGGCTTAATATGGGTTTTACGGCTCAGAGTTTAGGGGTTAGCGAGTAGGATGGGACGCCCGAACAAAGAACCCAGGAGCAAGGCAGGGATAGGGCCGGCACGCACGAGCCTGGTACCTCTAGCCCTTCTGCATATATGCACTATGTAGGGGATAGGATTGGGGGGACCCTTTGGGGAGATAGAACCTCTCAATAAGGTCCCTGTCTAAGAGAGGCAGAAGAGAGGGTTTAGGGTTTAGGGTTTAGGGTTTAGGGTTTAGGGTTTAGGGTTTAGGGTTTAGGGTTTAGGGTTTAGGGTTTAGGGTTTAGGGTTTAGGGTCCCCCTTATCCTACCTAGGACTATGTTCTTACAGACCCTACAAACAGCCAAAACAGACGCGGATGATCCCAAAGTCCTTGCACTGGACCCTGAGGACTCTGTGGCATGTCCAAACCTCTGCTGCTAAAGGAACCCTGAACCTAAACCCTAAGCCCTAAACCCTAAACCCCAAACCCTAAACCCTAAACCCTAAACCCTAAGCCCTAAACCCTAAACCCTAAGCCCTAAAACCTAAACCCTAAACCCTAAACCCTAAACCCTAAACCCTAAATCCTAAACCCTAAACCCTAAACCCTAAACTAAACCGTTTCGGATCAAGAATCAAGGGTTCAGAGTCGCAGAAGGTCGTAACAGGTTGAAGTCGGGTCTGATCTTTATGAGGGAATGAGGTGCCCTATGTAGCCCCTTAAGTTATTACGGGTTTAGGGTTTAGGGTTTAGGGTTTAGGGTTTCGGGTTTAGGGTTTAGGGTTTGGGGTTCCCGCGTAACTCCTCAAAAACAAGGGTACCCTTTTTCTTAGTATTCACCTTTTTAAGTACTACGGGGGGGACCCTGTCCCAAAATTACCCTGCATCCCCCGTAAAAACCAATGGCAACCCTTGGTAGTTTGCCAGAAGGGCCCTTTACATCAACCCTCACATACGTACATACGTACATACGTACATACATACATACCTACCTACATACATACATTGCATACATACATTGCATGCATGCATGCATGCATGCATGCATGCATACATACGTACATACATACATACATACATACATACATACATACATACAGGGGGATATAAGATACATATATATATATATACACATACACATACACATACACATACACCTACACCTACACATACACATATAGGATGATATAGAATATTTATATATATAGAGAGAGAGAGAGAGTGAGAGAGCGAGGGGGGGGGGGGGAAAAGGGGGTTACTTGAAGGTTCATGGTACTTACTAACCAATTATACTCGGCTATAACCCTACTTATAATTGGGCTAACCCCTATAAGGCCCTTTAGGGG